ATACATATATATATGCGTGTATGTGTAACTATCCATTTTAGTGTATACTCATATTTTTCATCCATTTGCATACACCAAGGATATTTAAAATTTTTATGGAAATTGAATTAAAAGATGAACTTATTTGGTTCAAAACTTAATGAAATCTGCACATATGAGAATTCAAAAAGTTTATAGAAAAGGTGTACTCTGAAAAATAATATGCATGGATTTCAGTTGTTTTGCACCAAAATAAAATTATCTTTTAATTCTATTTTTCCATGAAGCTTTTGAAGTATGGTAATATAGTTCAGTATCAACATGTAGGGAGATGTAAGCTGTTTAAAAGTTTAACAATAGTTACCTTTGGAGGGTGGGGTTTTGGGGATGACTTTTATCTTTTATTTTTCTGAACTATTCATTTTTCACTGATAATATATCACTTTAAAATCCAGAAAAAAGCAATTTTACTTGTGAGAAAGAGCTAAAACACTAAAATTTTACACAATGCATACAATTCTGTATTTTATAAGCAGTTGTTTGTATTGAGAATTTTCTTATTTTTTTAATATTTACTTGAAAAGCAGAGAGACAGAGAGCATGATTTCTTATGCTGGTTCATTTCCCAGTGCCCACAACAGTCAGAGCTGGATAGGCCTAAGCTAGAAGTCTGGAACTCAGTTCTGGATCTCCCACTTGCATGGCAGAGATCCAACTATTTGAGCCATCATCTGATGCCTCTCACAGTACACAGTAGCAGGAAGCTAGAATTGGGAGCAGAACCAAGACTCAAGCCCAGGCACTCCAATGTGAAATGCAGGCCTCCAAAGCAGCATTTATTTTATAATAGATAACTTTCATTTATTGAATATAAATTTTGAAGGTACAGCTTTTGAGTTATAGCGGTTCTTACCACCCACAAACCATCCCATCTCCTACTCCCTCTCCCATCCTATTCTTCATTAAGATTCATTTTAATCATCTTTATGTACAGAAGATCAACTCTATACTAAGTGAAGATTTCAACAGATTACACCCACACAAAGTATAAAGTACTGTTTGAAGACTAGTTTTAACCTGTAATTCTCATAGTACAACACATTAAGGACAGAGGTCCTACATGGGGAGCAATTGCACAGTGACTTGTTGTTGATTTAACAATTGAAACTCTTATTTATGACATCAGCAATCACCCAAGGCTCTTGTAATGAGCTGCCAAGGCTATGGAAGCCTCTTGAGTTCACAAACTCCAGCGTTATTTAGACAAGGCCATAGTCAAAGTGGAAGTTCTCTCTTCCCTTCAGAGAAAGGTACCTCCTTCTTTGATGGCCTCTTTTTTCCACCAGGATCTCACTCACAGAGATCTTTCATTTAGGTCATTTTTTGCCACAGTGTCTTGGCTTTCTATGCCTGAGATACTTTCATGGGCTTTTTAGCCAGATCCGAATGCCTCAAGGGCTGATTCTGAGGCCAGAGTCCCAAGCAGCATTTAAACTGTTACACCAACTGTCCACTCCAAAATATTACATAATGCATAGAATTTTATATATTTTTAAAACAGCAATGTATTATGACCATTTCCAATGGAATTATTTTTCAAATTGCATTTTAAAGGTTACATAATATTCAATCATACAAAAATGACATAGATGATATAACCTTTCCCCCTATTGGTTGAAAATGTAGGTTCTTTTCAGTCAAATAATATTTCAAACTTGAAGGATAATGTGCTCGTTAAAGATACTCCAAGCTGCTATTATTTTTATTTCTGTTTTAAATAGACTTTATTTTTCAGAGCACATGTAGATTCACAGCAAAATTTAGAAGGCACAGAGATTTCCTGTTATACTCCTTGCTTCAACAGGCACATAATCTCCATCACTATCAAAATCCTACACAAGGTGGAATTTGTGTTACAACTGAGAGACCCACACTGATAGATCATTGTCATGAGAAGTCCATATTTTTTCACTCAATTTCACTGCTGGTGTTGTGAATTCTATAGGAATTGACAAATATAAAATGACACGTTCATCATTATATTATCAAACAGAAAGTTTCACTGTTCTAGCATCCTCTGAGTTCTGTATTCATCACTTCCTCTCATAAACTTTTGATCCTTTTGCTGTTTCTATAGATTCTTGTTTTCCAAAATGCCATGTAAGGGTATTAAGGAGTCAGTGTAAAATGGAATTAAATTAAGCTCATCTTGGTACAAATATTTTTCAAAATCCATCCAGAGTTTTTTTCCTAGTATGAATTTTGCTTGAACTTTTTAAAGACTCTTCATTATGCGGTTTGAATTGTACAGTATGTAGCCTTTTAACATTGACTTCTTTAACTTAGTAATTTGCATTTAAGTTTTCTCCACCTCTTTTCTTGGCTTGATACCTCATTTCTTTTTAGATAAAATAATATTCCGTTACCAAAGTTTATTTATCCATTCACCTCCTGAGAAATACTTTGATTGCTTCTTTTTTTCCTCAGAAATATTTTAAGGAGTACAAACTTCATGCACTTCATAAATACAGCTTTAAGAACATAGTCATTTTTCCCACCATACCCACACTCCTACCCTTCTTCCTTCTCCCTCTCCTATTCCCATTCTTATTTTTTACTAAGATCAATTTTCAATTCACTTTATGCATATACAATTTTTTAAAGATTTATTTATTTATTTGAAAGTGAGAGTTACACAGAGAGAGGAGAGGCAGTGAGAGGTCTTCCATCTGCTGATTCACTCCCCAATTGGCCACAACAGCCTATCCAAAGCCAGGAGCCAGGAGCTTCCTCCAGGTCTCCCTCATGGGTGTAAGGGCCCAAGCAGTTGGGCCATCTTGTACTGCTTTCCAAGGCCATAGCAGAGAGCTAGATTGGATGTGGAGCAGCCGGGACTTGAAACGGTGCCCATATGGGCTGCCAGTGACTGTACCCACTACGCCAAAGCTCTGTTCCTATACATATACTATTAACTCTATATTAAGTAAAGAGTTCAACAAATAGTATGAAAAAAAAGTTGTCACATCTCAAAGTGTTAATTTCACTTCTATTTATTACTTATTAGGTATTCTATTAGTTATCACAGATCAGGGAGAGCATATGGTATTTGTCCCTTTAGGACTGGCTTGTTTCACTGAGCATGATGTTTTCAACTTTCATCCATTTTGTTACAAACTACAGGATTTCATTTTTTATGGCTCTGCAGTATTCCATGTTGTACATATCCCATAATTTCTTTATCCAGTCTTCATTTGATGGACATTTGTTTTGATTCCATTTCTTAGCTATTGTGAATTGAGCCGCAATAAACATGGGAATACAAATAACTCTTTCATATGCTGATTTCATTTCCCTTCGATAAATTCCCAGGAGTGGGATTGCTGGGTCATATGGTGGGTTTATATTCAGATTATGAGGTATCTCCATACTGTATTCAACAGTGGCTGTATCAATTTACATCCCACCAACAGTAGATGAGGGTACCTTTTTCCCCCACATCCTTGCCAGCATTTGTTGTTTGTTTTCTAAATAAAAGCCATTCTAATGGGGGTGAAGTGAAACCTCATTGTAGTTTTGATTTGCATTTCCCTGATGGCTAGAGATCTTGAGCACTTTTTCATGTGTCGGTTGGCCATTTGGATTTCTTCTTTTTAAAAATGCTTGTTTGAGTCCTTTGCCCATTTCTAAACTGGATTGTTTGTTTTCTTGTTGTCAAGTTTCTTTTTTTTTTATTTGACAGGCAGAGTTAGACAGTGAGAGAGGGAGAGACAGAGAGAAAGGTCTTCCTTCCATTCGTTCACCCCCCAAATGGCCACCACGGCTGGCGCGCTGCACTGATCTGAAGCCAGGAGCCAGGTGCTTCCTCCTGGTCTTTCATGCGGGTGCAAGGGCCCAAGCACCTGGGCCATTCTCCACTGCCTTCCCGGGCCACAACAGAGAGCTGGACTGGAAGAGGAGCAACCGGGACTAGAACCCAGCGCCCATAAGGGTTGCCGGTGCCACAGGTGGAGGATGAACCAAGTGAGCCATAGCACCGGCCCGTCAAATTTCTTGAGCTCTTTATATATTCTGAATATTAACCCTTTACTAGCTGTAGAGTTTGCAAATAATTTCTCCCATTCTTGTCAATTGCCTCTTCACCTTACTAAGTGTTTTGTTTGCAGTGCAGAAGCTTCTCAATTTGATGTAATCCCATTTATCAATTTTGGATTTGATTGCCTGTGTTTCTGGAGTCTTTCCCAAAAACTCTTTGTCTATGCCAATGTCCTGCAAGTTTTCCCCAATATTTTCTAATAAGTTGATGTTATCATGTCATAGATGTAGGTCTTTACACATATCCATAATTACTCCCTATATATTTTAGAATTGGAATTACTAAGCCAAAGAGTGAATATTGTTGTACCTGAACACATATATTAGAGAGGTTAAGATGATTTAAATTGTCATCAACAGTGTGTGGTTGCCTGTTTAGCTGAACTCTTGCCAGCACTGAAGATTAATATATTTTTAAATCTTCGCCAATTTGATAGACAAAGAATTATACCTCATTGCTATTTTAATTTATATTTTGAATACTCTTTTCTCAAATCTTAATTGAGAAATCTTAATTTTTGCCTTTTCATGTACTTTTCTACTTTTTCTCTACTGGAGTTTTTGTCTTTTAATAATTTGTACAGCTCATTGTGTGCTAATAGTTAAGCAGTCCCTTGTTATATGTGCTAAACTAATTTTCCCATTTTATATTTTGTCTTAATTTTATTTTCTTTATTTTTAAAATTATGGTATTTATTATATACATGTATTTTCCTTTTCTGTTGTCAAATCCAATTCATTTTCTTTGTGGCTACTCTCTGTAGTGTATTCTATCTCTTTATGGGAGGATATTTTGATAATGATTTTTGGCTTTACATGTTCATCAGTCTTTCAGTTTTTGGTTCTTGATGTATTGTCATTGAATTGTTGTTGTGTTGAAACTTCATTTTTTTCTGTAAATTACTTTTTTTTCCTTCCATTATTTCTAGAGTGGTCAGAGCTTCTACATTATGGATGAACAAATCTTTTCCAAGGAAGTACTTCCAAAATACTTCAAACATAACAATATGTCCAGCTTCGTACGACAGCTCAACCTGTGTAAGTATGGCCTATACTTCTGTATGCATTGTTAGAATCTATGGGAAGTTCACAGCAAAAATTAAACATTTTATTTTAAACATATGAGTATCATTCTGAATTCAGTGAGAGCTCTCTATACAGTGTATTATTAAAACTATTTAGTTTGATTTATTGATTAGAAGCCTAAACATAAAAAATTTGCTTTCTGGAGAAGGAGCAATATGTTTGGAATGCTGGTTAAGTTTCTGCTTTGAATACCCGCATCCCATACCAGAGTGCTAGATTCAAGTCCCAGCTCCTCTGCTTCCAATCTGGATTCTGCTAATGTACTTCCTGGGAGGTAGCAGATAATGGCTCAAGTACTTTGATCCTTGCCACCCACATTGGAGACATGGGTGGAATTTTGGGCTTTTGGCTTTGGTCTGATCTACTCCTGGCTGTTGCGCTCTCTCGCTCTCTAACCCTCTCTTTCACTATCCCCTTAATCCTATGAAACAAAAATTTTAAAAAATAATTGATTCTGGCAACACCTGCTATACTCCTGTTGAGTTATAGAATCTTAGAACTGAATAATACCCAAGAATTTATCTAGTACAGTCCTAATATGTTATAGCTGAAGAATGGAGCTTTTCTAGGAGATTAAATTTACTTGCTGGAGGTCGTACAGATAGCGAAGAAAGGTCTGGATTCTATTAATTTGATGAAAATTTGATTATTTTTTCTCTGATTTTTTTTTTTTTTGACAGGCAGAGTGGACAGTGAGAAAGAGAGACAGAGAGAAAGGTCTTCCTTTTTGCCATTGGTTCACCCTCCAATGGCCGCCGCGGCCGGCGCACCGCGCTGATCCGATGGCAGGAGCCAGGTGCTTCTCCTGGTCTCCCATGGGGTGCAGGGCCCAAGAACTTGAACCATCTTCTACTGCTTTCCCAGGCCACAGCAGAGAGCTGGATTGCAGGAAGAGCAGCTGGGACTAGAATCGGTGTCCTTATGGGATGCCGGCGCTTCAAGCCAGGGCTTTAACCCGCTGCGCCACAGCGCCGACCCCTCTGTCTGATCTTTTGAATAGAGGGTCTGACATAGCACTGATGTGAGGTTCTATTGCTGACAAAAGGTTTCTGTTTTTCCACACAATTATTTTGTGTTACCATTATAGAAATATTGAGAAATCATAAAAGTATAAAAGTGTGTACATACACATACATACACACACAATATAACTTTAGAATCCTCTTTTTGTAAAATTTGTGTGTTGCATAATTTTAACCTGGCATTGTTTCATAAATATTTTCTCACATTTAAAATATTTTATCATCTCATGTAATGCCATGAGATCATTATTGAGGGAATTTATATACTTTCTAAAATGTTTCCTGTTCAGTATCTTTCTGAAATTTTCATAATGAGCATCTATTATTTTATGGTAAAAATTAATTATATAAAATGACTTTGAAATACTTCCTTCAGAACCTCAACATCATAGTGCAAGAGACTATACATTATAGTGCCTTAAATTGTCTGAGTTAGAATCACAGAAACTTTTTATTTATTGACAATACACAATATTTTCATTTTAAATATTTAATGTACACTCACCAGAACCACAGGGTTTAATTTTAGGATTTCTTCATGTACTCTCAAGTTAGTGTTGTTTTTTTTTTCTTTTTTACTTTTTTCCTCACCTTTTATTTTTAACTTCCAACTTCAGGCATTTACTATTGAACCTCTCACAACTTAACTAGAGACATAATCTGTATAACTAGTTATATAGAAAAATAAAAAACTATACATTTTCTAATGCCTTCTCAATGTTTTCTAGCATATTTAATTTCTAAAATATTTAATCAAATATTCTAGAGTGTTATTGACATATACTGAATAAGAATTTCAAAAAGGAAAAGTACATTGAATTTTCATTTTTCCACCTTTCATAATTCTAAATAATTTAATTTAGAGTAACACATATTCTTTTGACAAAACATTTTTGAATTCAATGTTTATGTAATTTCTTTAATAGGAAACAAAGACTTCATACTATTATTATCAGAATGAGAAATTGTAGTAAATTAGACTAGGTGCACAGTAAGAAAATATAGTTTGACTAATAGGGTAGACAGTCAGAAATGATTCTAATAATCTTTCTTTTTAAAATTGCTGCATTTTCATATTTTTATACATGTAAAATTGACTTTTTTTTAAATTACTGTGTGTGTACACTCTTATGTGTGTTTAAAGTTTAGAAGACCACCAGGAAAGAGGGAAAAATCACCCTTAGTTTTATAATCCAAAGGCAACTGATTTATAATATTTTATAGACCTTAATTTTCTTTTCTTATTTCAAATGACTCAATTTCTTAATTTTTTAAATTGAAAAGTAATATTGTATGTATTTACTGTGTGCAACATGATGTGTTTTTTCTTTTTTGTGCTTTTTTTAAAATTTTATTTAAGGTATACAAATTTCATGTATTATATACAGATTCAGGAACATAGTGATACTTTCCACCCTACTCTCCTTCCCACCCTTCTCGCTCCTCCCTCTTCTATTCCCATTGTTATTTTTTACAAAGATCTATTTTTTATTTTATTTTTTTTGAAAGGCAGAGTTACAGAGAGAGGGAGAGAACGAGAGAGCTCTTCCCACCCTCTGGTTCACTCCCCAAATGCCCGCAACAACCCGGGCAGAGCCAGGCTGAAATCAGGAGCCAAGAGCTTCAGTCAGGTCTCCCATGTGGGTGCAGAGAACAAGCATTTGGGCAGTCCTCCAGTGCTTTCCCAGGCATTTTATCAGGGAACTGGATTGTAAGTGTAGTATTCAGAACTCGAGCCGGTGCCCATTAGGGGTACCAGCATTGCACACCACAATGCCAGCCCCAACCTGATATTTTGAAATATATATACTTTGTAGAATAATTAAATCTAGGTAACTAACAAATGCATTGCCTCACATAGTTATCATTTTTGTGGTGAGAACTCTTAGCCACTCTCTGGATTTTTCAAGAGTGAATAAACATAACATTTAAAACATAAGAAAAAATGTTGAAAATTGCTTTTAATCAAGCAATCATCATCATTTAACCATAGTCACTATGGTGTGCAATAAATCTCTTGAACATCTAACCATAATTATATATCCTTTGACCAAAATTTCCCTACTCTTCCTCCCCACTAACCGCCCAGACTCTGACAAGCTCTGTTCTTTCTCTACTTTTTATGAGATCAACTATTTAGATACCACATTCAAGTGAGATTGTACAATATTTGCCTTTCTGTGCCCAGATTATTTCCCTTAACATATTATCCTTCAGTTCCATTGTTTTGTCACAAGTGATAGAATTTAGTCTTTTGTAATGGCTGAATAGTATTTCATTGTGTCGGTATATCACAATTTCTTTTTTTAAGATGTATTTATTTATTCAAGAGACAGAGTTACAGACATAGAGAGGAAGAGAGACAGAGAGGTCTTCCATTCATTGTTTCACTCCCCAAATTGCTGCAATGGTCATAGCTGATCCAAAGCCAGGAGCCAGGAGTTTCTTCTGGGTCACCCATGTAGGTGCAGGGGCCCAAGCACTTGGGCCATCTTCCACTGCTTTCACAGGCCATAAGCAGTGAGCTGGATCAGAAGAGGAGCAGCCAGGACACAAACCAGTGCCCAAATGTGATGCCGGCGCTGCAGGCAGCCAGAGGCTTAATCTATTACATCACAGTGCTGGCCCCAATCACAAATTCTTTATCCATTTATCTTTTGCTGGACACCTAGGTTGATTATATACTGTGACTATTGTGAATAATGTTTCTATAATCAGAGTGCAGTTATCTCTTCCATGCACTAATTTCATTTCCTTTGAATATATACTCAACAGTGACATTGCTTGATCATATGGTACCTCTATTTTTAATTTTTGAGAAATCTCTGTACTGTTTTCAATAATGGTTATCATAATTTAGATGACCAAAAACAGTTTTTAACAAGTTTTCTTGTTACTGAGATGTTTGAACCCTTTATATATTCTGAATATTAACAACTTACTAGATGCCTGGTGAACATGTATTTTCTCCCATTCTATTGGATATCTCTTCACTCTGTTGATTGTTTCTTTTGCTATACATAAGCTATTAAGTTGGATGAAATCGAATGTGCCTATTTTTGCTTTTGTTGTCTGTGCTTTTGATGTCATATCCAAAGAGTCATTGCCTAGACTAGTGTCATGGAGCTTTATCTTACATGTTTGATTCTATTAGTTTTATACTTTTTGGACTTACATTTAAGGCTTTAATCCATTCTGAGTTTTTTTTTAAATAGTGAGAGATAAAGGTCTAAATTTATTCTTCTGTCATATAGAAATCAGTTTTCTCAGCAGCATTTGTGTTTGAAAATTTATTTAGTTGAAAGGTAGAGCAGTAGAGATAGAGGGAGAGACAGAGACATTTTTTCTATCTGCTGGTTCACTCCCCAAATGTCCATGACAATCTGGATTGTGCCAAGCAGAAGCCAGGACCCAAGAACTCCATACCAGTCTCTTACATGGGTGGCAGGGGTCCAAATATTTGAGCTGTCTTCCACTGCCTTCCAAAATGCATTATCAAGAAGCTGGATCAGAAGTGAAGTAGTTGGGACTAAAACCTGCACTCTGTTATGGGATGCCAGCATGGCAAACAGTGGCTTAAACCACTGATCTACAACACTGGTCCCCCAATATCACTTTTGTCCTTTCCCTGTGTGTATAAAAACACATAAAAGGCACCTTTGTTTAAGATCTTTTGGCTGTGGATGTGTGTGCTTATTTCTGATGTTTCTGTTCTCTTCCGCTAATCTATTAGTCTGTTTTTATGCCAATACCTTATTGTTTGGCTTACTATAGTTCTACAGGATAGTTTGAAGTCAGGTAGTATGATGCTTCCAGACCTTTTCTTTTTTCCTAAAGATTATTTTGGTCCCAGATGGGGTGAGCAGGCTGGTGGGAGGGGAATGGGCCCCACCCACAGCTGAGTGCCTCCAGGAGGCTTCCCCAACCACA